TTGACGTTGCCTAATCCAGGAGAGCCTTTTGTGGTATATTGTGATGCTTCTAAGATGGGTTTAGGAGGTGTGCTTATGCAGAATGATAAGGTAGTTTCTTATGCGTCAAGGCAGTTAAGGACTCATGAGAAGAACTATCATACGCATGATTTAGAGCTTGCTGCAGTTGTTTTGTGTTGAAGATTTGGAGGCATTATCTTTATGGTTCTAGATTTGAAGTGTTTAGTGACCATAAAAGCTTAAAGTATTTATTCGATCAGAAGGAGTTGAATATGAGTTAACGGAGATGGTTGGAATTGTTAAAGGATTATGATTTTAGTTTGAACTATCATCAAGGAAAAATGAATGTGGTAGCTGATGCCTGATGCGTTGAGTCGAAAGACTTTATATATGGCGACAATGATGGTTAAAGAGTTGGAATTAATTGAGCAGTTTAGAGATATGAACTTAGTTTGCGAGGTTACGCCGCAAAGTGTTATGTTGGGTATGTTGAAGATTAATAATGAATTTCTAGACAATATCAGAGAAGCTCAGAAGTTGGATGTGAAACTAGTAGATTTGATGGTTGGGATCGATCAGTCTAAGAATAATGATTTTAAGTTAGATGCGAGGGTGTGTTGAGATTTCGTAACTGGATTTGTATTCCTGATGATGCTGAGATGAAGAAATTTATACTTGAAGAGAGTCATAGAAGTAAGTTGAGTATTCATCCAGGAGCTATAAAGATGTATCAAGATTTGAAAGGTTTATTTTGGTGGCCTGGAATAAAGAGTGATGTGGCTCAGTTTGTGTATGCATGTTTGACTTGTCAAAAGTCGAAAGTTGAACATCAGAAACCTGCAGGGTTGATGCAACCGTTAGAAGTTCCAGAATGGAAATGGGATAGCATTTCGATGGGCTTTGTGATGGGGTTACCTAATACCTTAAGAGAACATGATTCGATTTGGGTGATTGTTGATAGGCTTACAAAGTCGGCTCATTTTATTCCTATTAACATTAGTTTTCCAGTGACGAGTTGGCTGAGATTTACACTAGTGTGATTGTGAAGCTTCATGGTGTTCCTTTGTTCATTGTGTTAGATAGAGATCCAAGATTTACTTCTGATTTTCGGAAGAGTTTGCAAGAAGCGTTGGGTTCTAAGTTGAGGTTGAGTTTAGCGTATCATCCTCAGACAAATGGTCAGACTGAACGGACTATTCAATCGTTGGAAGACTTGTTGAGGGCATGTGTTCTTGAGCAGGGAGGTTCGTGGGATACTTATCTTCCGTTGATAGAGTTCACCTATAATAACAGTTAACATTCCAATATTGGGATGGCACCTTTTGAAGCGTTATATGGTCGAAGATGTAGAACTCCTTTATGTTGGCATGAATCTGGTGAAAGTGTAGTACTTGGGCCTGAACTTGTTCGTGAGACTACTGAGAAGGTGAAGTTGATTAGAGAGAAGATGAAATCTTCCCAAAGTAGATAAAAGAGTTATCATGACAAGCGAAGGAAGGGTTTAGAATTTCAAGCAAGTGACCATGTGTTTTTGAGAGTTACACCCGTGACTGATGTTGGGCGAGCATTGAAGTCTAAGAAGCTCACTTCTCGTTTTATTGGACCTTATCAGATTTTAGAGAGAGTGGGGAGTGTTGCTTATAGAGTGGATTTACCGCCTAATCTTTCGAATTTGTATGATGTGTTTCATGTGTTACAACTCCGAAAGTATATTTCAGATCCATCTCATATGATTCATATGGATGATGTGCAAGTACGGGATAATCTTATTGTGGAGACGATGCCTATACGGACCGCGGATCATGAAACTAAGACTCTGCGGGGCAAAGAGATTGTCTTGGTTAAAGTGGTTTGGCTAGGAGCTGCCGGAAAAAGCATGACTTGGGAGTTGGAGAGCAAGATGTGAGACTCTTATCCTGAGTTGTTTGAGTAAGGTAAATTTTCGAGGACGAAAATATTCTAAGTGGGGGAGGTTGTAACGCCCGTAATTTAATTAAATTATTTTTGGAATATTTGTGATGTTGTGTTATGATTAATTAGATTTAATTACTTTATTAAGTTGTGGAATAATATTAGAGGATGATATTAATTGATGTGAGATTGTTTTAAAGGACAAAAGTAGTAATAAAGGAGTGTAGTAGTCTTAAGCCCATTTAGCAATAAAGAGAGTAATAGGGTTATTTTATTATTGTTAGAATAAGGAGAAAAGAAGAAGCTGTAAGAGAGGAAGAATAAGGGTTTGAAAGAAGAGAACGTGAAAGCTGTTGGAAAGGAGGAAAAGAGGCAGAACAAGATTCAATTGGAAAAGTTATAGAGCGACCTTCAATCCAAGGTAAGGGTGGGGTTCTGACTCTATAATAGGGTTTATGATAATTGATATGTGGGGTTAGAGGTGAAATATTGTTTTGTTTATGATTGGATTATATATGTTGTTGTATGATGAAAATCGATGAATTATGGATGAATAATGATGCCCTAATGTTGTATATATGATGTAGAATTATAGGATAATTGTAATTGATGATTATCTATGATTAGAGGATGTTTTTAGGGCCTAAAGTATGGAATCCATAGTGAAAATGCAGTGAAATCGCGGAAAATATCCATGACAGAGCAATATGTGTCGACCCCAAATGTTATGCGTCGATACATGAAGACTTTTAGACTCAGGATGAGTCTATGCGAAGGAGTCTTGCGTCGATACATGAAGGCTTAGAGACTCGGGATGAGTCGATACGAAGGAGCATGTATTGATACATGCAGTGTTGCAGACTCAGTATGAGTCAATACAAGAGAGTATGCATCAACTCATGTAGTGTGTTAAGTCCAGTACGCGTCGAACCAAGGCATTAGGCGTCGATCCATGTTGTCTGGTTTTTGGCAGAATCAGTTTGAGAATGTTGTAACTTGAGTTTTCGGACTCCGTTTGAGGTGTCGTTCGAAGCGTTGAATAGCTAATGCGATGAACTTCATTCTTAAGGATTAAAATGAATAATAGGAAGGATAATCCTAGTATCCAAATTAAGATTTGAGTTAGTTCCCGCAATAATCGTTATGTTGGTTTTTGTGAAGAATGATGAGGATGAAATGTTTATAGATTACTGTCCGATTTGTAAGAGTAGGATTAATGATGATAATGATGTAGTATTACAAAATAGTAATATGCAGAGGTTTGGTAATTTAGAAGTAAGCCTTAGTTGATTAATTAGTTATAGGCGATATCATGTTGTTGGCCTATGACCAACGTTGCGAGATTGATGAGCTACTATTGTATTACTGTACGGCTGAGTTGTTGATGAGATGATGTTAATGAGATTTTGTTTGATAAATTATGATGTGAAAATGATGTATGATGAATTAAGATGTATAAATGATGTTGATGAAAGATGTTGAGATGCCTTAATAATTGACAGCTATTAAGATGTAGCCTTATGACCAACAATGATGTTGTGTTGAGATGTTGTAATTATGGCATTGTCATTACATTCATGATTGTGTCGCATACATTGCATTTCACGATAGAATTTATGCTCGTTAAGATGGCATGTATTAGCGAATATTAAGATGAAGGCTTATGCCTTGTTGATGCCTTTATTTATTGGAAATTATTTTGAGATGGGAGTTCTGCTCCAATGGTACCACATCCATTTGCATAATATTGAGTCGCATTATGTGATTGCATAAGAAGTTTTGTATTGATGCGGTGAATGTGTATATTATTGGTATTCTGTTGCGATTATTGTTGTTTATACGATGAGAAGTGGTGATGTTATGTGATCTAATTTAATATATTATTTATTATACGTTTTATTATATTGTTAGATATCTCACCCCTTCTGTTTGAAGTTTACCCTTACGTTGGTAACGTGCAGACAATCCAGAGTGAAGGCTGTATACTTTCAGTAGTTTGAGTCAGTGTCATTGCTCTGATACGTAACACTCATGGAGATGAACGCTTGTTGCTCTTAGTTATTGATTATTTCAGTTGTTGAACTTTAATTTGATTGTTGCTAAGTATGAGTTGTTTTGGAGTTGTTGTAACGATGGAAAAAAATGTTATTAAGAATTCTGCTGCGTAGATGTTTAAGTTGTTGAATTAAGAGATTAAATTATTATGCTGATAGTTCATCCGAAGTTTTAAAGTGTTATGTATCCACATTGAATGCAATGTGTTTTTAAAGTTGAATTTGTGACATCCTGATTCAGTTGCATGAATTTTATAACTCTGATTTACATTTATAATTGCCGGGTAGAATTGGGGTGTTACACTATACACACATATTAGATTTGTTTTAGATTTAAATATATTTGATTTAAAGTCTAAAATAGAATAGATTTGATTTAGTACCAAAATAAGTATTTTTGGCTTTTATAGTTTTGGGCTTATAGAGTAACCTAAATCTATAAATAGAGGGAGTAACCCCTAATTTTTTAATCAAGTCATTCACAGTCTTTTGCAGTTGGAAAGTAAATAAGAAAGTTTTTCACAATTTGTGAATAGAGAGAAACTCTGCAGAAAATAATTGTCTTGTTTTCTTTTCTTATAATTCATTGTCATTGTGTGGTGATATCAATCTTATTAATTAATATCGATAGAAACTCATCATAGATATTTGATAGATTCTTCTTGTTTAGAATTCAACACCACCTAATCAACAACCCTGACATTATTTTTTTTTGCATTTAATCATAAAAAACCCAAATCTATTATGAATAAATTAAATATTAAGGAAGGAATCAAACTCCACAAATAAACATGCTTTATGAATGAATACGGCCAAGAAACTGCGTCAGGTTCCAACTTTTAGTATCACACGCGCTTCAAATCAAAATTTAGATTCCATTTTATGAAAAAGTGGTTCCATTTTATAAATATATAAAAACAAAAAAAAAAACACAACAATGAGACAGTGCCACACAAAACAAATCAAAAACCTATCAGAAACAAGTCTCACACAAATAACAACACTCTCTTTTCACGTTTTTGAAACGAAACAACCATGGCAGCCACTACCAGAGCGATTAGCAGCTCAACCTACTCTCTTCTCACCACCAATAAGCCCTTTCTTGGTGCCCGTGCTCTTCGTCTTAACAATCTCAAGGTTTCTTCTAGAACTACTAGGTCTTATACTTGCAAGGCTATCTATTACCCTGAGGTTACTGTCAAGGAGGATGGTCAGCCACAAACCCTTGATTATAGAGTCTTCTTTCATGACAAATCTGGCAAAAAGGTTACTTTTTTTTTTCGTTTAATCAATTTGGGTATCGAATTTTTGGTGATTTTTTATTCTTGTGTTGATGGGTTTTGCTTATAATAACGAATTTATGATGTTGGGGTTTTAAAGTTTCTTCCTTTAATGCCGGGCTTGTTGTTTGATGATGGTGGTGGTTTAGAAATAAACAAAATACTGCATGGTGGATTTGTTTAATTTAGCTATGGTTATTTGTCTAGGAGTTCTATTTATGGTTTAGTACTGTTTCGTCTCTGGAAACCAGAATTGTTGGTGTGGATTTTTGATGCGGTTAGGCAGGGTGGAGGGCAAGATTAGCACTCCAACATCCAAATCAACAAGTGAGTGAAGAAGGGTGGAGTGAATTATGATTAGAATCATACCTTAGAATGCAAACGTGGTGACTTATATACTTTAGATGGTAATTGAGCCTATTTCGCATTGGACGCGTGTCCGACTCAGAACAAATAGCTTTGCATCAATTGATTGTTCAGCTGTTAAGGGATAGTGTTTAGTCTGGTGTTAACTAATTTTGATATGCTTCACAAGTTGATAGACATTTTATTGAGAGTTTGATATCAAACAATATATGGCTTGAACATGTCTTTATAAGTGGGGGGTAATCCTCACCCTAGAAGCCGGTTTTGTAGGGTTGAGTTAGGTCCAACCACAAATTTTAACACATTTTATCAAGGATTTAAATCATGGTCGTCTCGTGATTGTGATCTTTGGTATTGTAGAGAACCGCAATCACGAGGGAAGGTATCAAGTTAGCTATTTAGATTTTCTTTAATTTGGCAACTAGGAATTGTGTAACTAATCTAATGATCTAATGACTTAGTATGGAATAACATGTTGGGCTTTTTATGAAGAAAAGTAAAACTTACTGTAATGATCTGAGTGATGTGTGAGTGCGAAAAAATTAATTTGTAAAATTTGCAGGTTTCTCCATGGCATGATGTTCCGTTACAGCTAGGTGATGGTGTCTTCAACTTCATTGTTGAAATACCAAAAGAATCCAGTGCAAAGATGGAGGTTGCTACCGACGAGCCTTTCACTCCTATAAAACAGGATATAAAAAAGGGGAAGCTTCGTTTTTACCCGTGAGAGACAACTTCAAAGCTCATACTGTTCTTTTTTGTATGTATAATTTTTTTTTAGTATTTTGTGCCACATTCATAAGTTCTTTTTTATTCTTCCCAGCTATAATATACATTGGAACTATGGCTTACTTCCTCAAACATGGGAAGATCCAACTCTTGCTAACCATGAAGTTGAAGGAGCATTTGGAGATAATGATCCAGGTATTCTATTTCTAATGAGCAGTGATTTTACTCTCCATTCCATTTCTACAAATTTTCATAAATATGTTTGCAACTAAGCGGGCCTGAAGTTCCTTTTATCTTTATGTAGTTGATGTGGTTGAGATCGGTGAAAGCCAAAGGAAAATAGGAGAGGTTCTCAGAGTCAAACCCTTAGCTGCATTAGCCATGATTGATGAAGGAGAACTTGATTGGAAAATAGTAGCAATTTCATTAGATGATCCTAAAGCTTCACTTGTGAATGACGTCGATGATGTTGAGAAGCATTTTCCAGTAAGCTGTTATCTAACTAGTTGGTGTCATGATAAGCGTTTTTTATATGTGATATATAATCTTCCGATTCTTTTCAGGGTACCCTCACTGCAATTAGGGACTGGTTCAGAGACTACAAGATACCTGACGGGAAGCCTGCTAATAGATTTGGTCTTGGCAACAAGGCAGTAAATAAGGTGCTTTCACTGCACAAATCTATTAATGCAGTTATCACAACAAATTCTTCCTTCTGTTGTTAATCATTTATGTTTTTAGCTCTGACTACCAAGTTCGATCCTTGAGCGTGACAAGAAATTTCTGTAAAGTTGTAATGAGAAAAATAAAAGCACAATATTTATCATATAATCCACTGCAATGTTAATAGCCTCATTTTGTCTCGGCTAATTTCGTAAAAGCTAAAACTTATTTTTTGTGAACAGGATTATGCGCTGAAAATAATCACGGAGACGAACGAGTCTTGGAGTAAACTTGTGAAGAGATCAATTCCTGCAGGAGAGCTGTCACTTGTGTAAATGCATTGGCAAAAGAGTATCAGTTATTCATGACAATGCTTTTTTATGATTCTATTTATGAAGTAGCAAACTGTTATATTTGTTTAGCTTTCCGGTTATGTTTTTGACATCAATGCCCTTTTGGTTAGGCACTAGTTGAAAATATTGAATACATCTATATTGCTTTTGTATTCTAAGTTTTATGTGTCATTCTTTATTTACTTTCCATTTCAATGAGACAGCTCTCTAATATTAATAATAATAATAATAATAATAATAATAATAATAATAATAATTAATAATAATAATAATAATAATAATAATAATAATAATAATAATAATAATAATAATAATAATAATAATAATAATAATAATAATAATAATAATAATAATAATAATAATAATAATAATAATAAATAATAATAATAATAATAATAATAATAATATAATAATAATAATAATAATAATAATAATAATAATAATAATAATAATAATAATAATAATAATAATAATAATAATAATAATAATAATAATAATAATAATATAATAATAATAATAATAATAATAATAATAATAATAATAATAATAATAATAATAATAATAATAATAATAATAATAATAATAATAATAATAATAATAATAATAATAATAATAATAATAATAATAATAATAATAATAATAATAATAATAATAATAATAATAATAATAATAATAATAATAATAATAATAATAATAATAATAATAATAATAATAATAATATAATAATAATAATAATAATAATAATAATAATAATAATAATAATAATAATAATAATAATAATAATAATAATAATAATAATAATAAATAATAATAATAATAATAATAATAATAATAATAATAATAATAATAATAATAATAATAATAATAATAATAATAATAATAATAATAATAATAATAATAATAATAATAATAATAATAATAATAATAATAAATAATAATAATAATAATAATAATAATAATAATAATAATAATAATAATAATAATAATAATAATAATAATAATAATAATAATAATAATAATAATAATAATAATAATAATAATAATAATAATAATAATAATAATAATAATAATAATAATAATAATAATAATAATAATAATAATTAATAATAATAATAATAATAATAATAATAATAATAATAATAATAATAATAATAATAATAATAATAATATAATAATATAATAATAATAATAATAATAATAATAATAATAATAATAATAATAATAATAATAATAATAATAATAATAATAATAATAATAATAATAATAATAATAATAATAATAATAATAATAATAATAATAATAATAATAATATAATAATAATAATAATAATAATAATAATAATAATAATATAATAATAATAATAATAATAATAATAATAATATAATAGTAATAGTAATAGTAATAGTAATAGTAATAGTAGTAATAATAGTAATAATAATAGTAATAATAGTAATAGTAATAATAATAATAATAATAGTAATAATAGTAATAATAATAATAATAGTAATAATAGTAATAATAATAGTAATAGTAATAATAATAATAATAGTAATAATAATAATAATAATAGTAATAATAATAATAATAATAGTAATAATAGTAATATAATAATAATAATAATAATAGTAATAATAATAATAATAATAGTAATAATAGTAATAATAATAATAATAATAATAATAGTAATAATAATAATAATAATAGTAATAATAATAATAATAATAGTAATAATAATAATAATAATAATAATAATAATAATAATAATAATAATAGTAATAATAATAATAATAGTAGTAGTAGTAGTAGTAGTAGCAGGTAAGTATTAAGCTATAATATTTATGCTTTGTTCTGCTGTGGCACCAATTAATTTCGAAGGAATTGATTATGTAAAATTGATTTAGACTAAAGTGAATTGAAGTTAAAATGGTTTATATTTTGATGCATCAAAGTAAAAGTGAGTTAGAGGTTTTATTGTTAAGATCACGTTTTAGACTCAAGAAGCAAATAATAGCTTTTAAGCAAAATCAATTCTTGAGGCAAAACAGTTCTATTTTACAGAAACCAAACACATTCAAATCAAATATACACTTAGAATTACTTTTGCCTTTTCTTGAAG